AATTTTCTTATTAATCCTAGTTTCATATTCATTAATCCTAGACATATGGTATAGTGGTCACATATCATATGAGGTTGATAATCAATAGATGTTCATGCTAATCAATTATCTTCCTATTAACAGAAAATTAATTATCATTCATACACAAGGTTCTTTAGCAAGCTAAAATAACAAAAATTCACCAACTTGGAATTAATCCTACTAATCAATCAAACCATATTGTCAACTTTGTATCCCCAAACAGAAGTCTAAAGATTTTAGTTCATAACTAAGGTAAATAACAGCAAACAAACAAGTTCAAGTTGCTTAATCATATTGACAAAACAAAAGAATAAGTAGAATGATGAAATTATGCCTTAATTACTCCCAGAATTGAATTCTAGCTTCCTTGGTTGACTTCTAGGGTTCTTCTGGCTTCTTATTCGCAGCAAAGCACTTCTGAAACTTCCCAGAGTTTTCTTCTCTCGATCTGTGGAGTTATCTTTAAATATGCGTTCCGACTCGTTGAGTCCCTCTCACATTCTCCGTATTGCGATAACTATCTGGACTTCCGAATCATTATCCTCCTGATTCCTCGACCGGACTCGTCGAGTCCAGGCTCGACTCGACGAGTAGAAGCCTTTTTTAGGTGTTTTCCTTCTTCATTCCACTCTCGAGCTCCTAACCGCTTCTCTTGCTTCCTTTCGCTTCCGAGCTTCATCTTTGGACTGAAAAACATAATTTAACACTTTTAAGTACCTTTTGTCCATAATATGCAACAATTTAGCTAATATATGAATAAAAACTATACTTAATACACACTAAATATGCACATATCACGGTGAACAAATTCAGGTAATGTTCCCACATCTCAACCTCCGGCTCCCAGGTCCACTTAGAGCCCCTCCGGTGCTGCCATCGTACCTTTACCAAAGGTACTTCCTTGCTACACAAAAAATTTACCTTCCTTTCCATAATAGTTACTGGCCTCTCAAATTAATTCAGGCGCTCATCAACCTGAATATCATCCAAGGACACTACTACATCCTCATCCAATACACATTTTCACAACTACGAAACATGCAAAGTGTTATGAATCTGACTAAGCTCCTCAGGAATATCCAATCTGTAGGCAACCTTTCCAACCCTAGAAATAATCTGGAATGGCCCAATATACCGGGGACCCAATTTCCCCCTTTTCCTGAAGCGAATCACACCTTTCCAAGGTGAGACCTTCAGTAACACCATGTCGCCGACCTGGAAATCCAACTCGGATCGGCACCGGTCAAACTAGCTCTTCTGCTAACTCTGAGCAGTCTGCAATCTCTACCTAATCTGTTGAATCATCTTCGTAGTCTGAAGGACCACTTCGGCCTGCCCCATAAACCTGTGACCAACCTCGCCCCAACAAACTGGGGTAGGATATCTCTGCCCATTCAAGAGCTTATAGGAGAACTCTGCAAGAGGTAAGTAGGAGTCCTAGCTCCCCAGCAAAGTCAATGACACGGACCCACAACATATCCTTAAGGGTCTTACATTTAGAAAAAAAAAAAAAAAACACTTTCCCCATGAAGTTTTGCATCCACTTAGGTTGGGAAAAGACTAGAGTGTTCATTGAAATTTTGGTTAATGTGACTCGATTGATGATAGAATACTAAATAACATTATCTTAGTGATGGTATTCTATACATGCTTTACGTGTATCATGAATGATACCTACCTCGTGTATGATACTTATGATGATAACATACTTATACCATATTAAAATGAATAAATGGGGAGTAATGTATAGTAAGATTTGTGCTAACTATTACACGGTCTTCAATGATCTATCTAAAGACTAAAAACTAGAGACTAATGGCCGATGAGAAATAGACATAAGTTGACTTGAGAAGTGAGTAGAGTCATATTTCATTGCATCTATTCATGTCCTTTTATTTATTCAATTTTTATTATTAACTTTTAAATGTTATGAAATGATGAATGACTAAAGACTTATGAATTTGACACAAGATTATTATTAACTTTTAAACGTTATATGGTGACTAATGATTAAAGACTTAAGAGTTTTGCAACAAGCTTAGGACTGTATCTCATTCCTCAAAAGTAATCCTTTTATACTACTAAAAGGATTTAAAAAAATGATTTTGGGGATTCTCATTGGTTAAAGGAATGTGAAAATTTATTGGACTATAAAGATGAAAGATCCCATTATTACTCACTAGGCATTCCCAATGTCTAAACTATGTAATTTGACATGTATCCATATTAAAAGTGGAAGAAGACGAGGAAATCTTGGACATTTTGAAGGCGTCACAAGATGTAGTGGTTTCTCTTGAACTAATGTTGTGATATTGTGTTAATACTCTCATACTTTAAACCTTTTGAATTGTAAATATTATAAAAACTAAGACTCTAAAACTGTATTTTCTACAATGATGATTATAAAAGAAGTAAATATATTTAAAAATGATTTAATTAATAAGCCATATGAGGGTTATTTCAGTTTTACTTGGAAAAAAATCTCAAAAATCTCTTTTACATAAAAACGTTATTGTTTAAAATATGCCAAAATTTTATTTATGTTCAACAATTTACTATTAACAACTATGTTTCCATTGAATTTGACTCCTTTTGCTTCTCTGTTAAGGATCTTAAAACATGTACCTTTCTTCAACGGTGTGACAGTGTTGGTGATTGTTACCGGGTACTCTGATTTCTGTACTCCAACTCTCTCCACCGAGTATGATTCTTTTCTACAATATATTTATCCATTTATCTCTACATCTCTCTTGTAGTACTCTCCTACGACCCCAGTCTTGCTACTATCACTCCCGATTCTCCAATCACTACTATCCCCCACCTCATCTTACCATAATCTCAACTACTCCCTATCAGTCCTACCATGCATCCTCTTACATCCTTACACCCATGACCACCCATTCTTGCAGTGGCTCCTTTCATACATGATAGATTCTCAATCTATCAACCACCATGGACATCTCTCCTATTCACAAATCAGTCTATGTATGGTCCGCATTGGGAACCGACTATGGATACTAATATGTCCACTCTTCTCTCTAATCACACACGTGGTTTGATCCTCGGATCCTAATGCCAACATAATTGGCTCGATAGCCACAAGTTTGACAATCATAGTAATCTTGATTATTACAAAGGATGATTGATCTGTCATAAAATTTTCCCAAGAACATTGGCTTGATTTCGACGATACTTTTAGCCCTCTTGTCAAACTAGCCACCATTTATAATGTCTTGATTTTATCATCTTCCATCATTGGCATATACATCAACTTGATATTAAAAACTCCTTTTTTACACAACGATCTCTTTAAGGTTGTACATATGAAAAAGCATATTGGATTTGTCCATCCTACTCTTTTTTTATCATATATATGTTGGTTTTGCAAGGCCTAGTATGGCCCTTAAGAAGACCCGCATGCCTAGAATTAACAATTTTTCGTTTGAAATCATCTATAGGCTTCAAGAGTAGCAAATATAATAGTTCTCTATACACCTTTCACCAAGGAAGTGATATTATCTGTCTTCTCTTATATGTTGATGTCATCGTACCAACCTCACCGCCCTCCTTGAACACTCGTGCTATTTTTCGTCTATCCCCATGTTGAATTTGGGTCCTTGCTCGTTCTTTCTTGGGATTGTTGTTTCTCGTAACTCCATAAGTCTTTTTGTTTCTCAATTATCTTTTGCTTGAGAGATTCTTTCTTGTGTGACATGGCTTGTGTAATCACTATAACATGTTGATGGATTTTAAGCCCAAACTCTCCACTGAAGGTAAGCATGTCTCTGTCTCCATAATGACCATCATGAATCACACTTTCTTGCTCTCAAGTGCATTCTTCGTTGTCTCCATGGTACTATATTGTATGTTATTCATATCCCTCCTTTTATAGTTGAGTGTTTGGTCTCTTATTTTGACGTTCATGGGCTGGTTGTCCTCAGACTTATTGGTCTACTTTGGGGTTTCATGCCTATTATGGTGACAATCTCATTTCTTGGTCTTACAAATGCCATCATGTCTTCTCGCAGTCCATCGCTAAAATTGAGTATCGGGAGGTGGCTAATGTTGTTGAAATTGCTTGCTTCGAAACTTCCTCCTTGAGTTGTGTTGCCCTCTTTCTTGTGCTATTGTTCTTGTTTGAGATAATGGTAGTGTCATGTACTCAACTTCTAATACAACTCAGCACCAAAAAACCAAACTAGTGAAAATAGACTTATATTTTGTTAGAAAATGTGTTGATATTGTTCATATGTGTGTCTTGAACTTACCATCCATGTATTAATTTGCATATATTTTTACAAAGGACTACCTACACAATTATTTGTAGATTGTTGGATTCCCTCTAGTAAATATCTACTATAATAAATGAAGGTTTTTTTGCCACATGTCCTCTTCTCCTTTATTTGGACACTTGACATTTTCTAAAAATTTCAAATTTTCTATTTTCCACTTGTCATTTTATTGTAATTTTCCTTTTATTAAATTAAAATTTCACATTTAATGTGTAAGGTAATATATATGTAAAGTATTTATTAAAAAGAGTTTATATATGTAATGTATTAAATATATTAAAGTTTCAATAATTTTAATAATTCAAAAATTTTCTTATTTTTCTTATAAATTCAAACTTTTTAAATTATTAAAATTTCATATTTTTTTTAATTAAAGTTATGTAATACATTGGTCTCACACCTAATTGTATCTATATATTAAAAGTTAGGATTTTCCACATCTAACCTAATAATAAATGAAAATCATTTTTGTGAAATGTTATGTTCTCATTGAGTTTAACACATGCTATTTTTCGGGATTTTTTGAAATATTTTTTTTTCTACTTGTTATTTTTTATTTCATTTCTCTTAAATTTAGTGAGGACCTATTAAATTTAAGAATATGTTTATTTGCTTTCTCTTTCAAATCTTCTAGAATTAAATCTTAAATCACTATATCACACATCATTTTTTTTAAATATCAATATTTTTTATTAGTAAATATTAAATTACTTATTTTATCTATTATATATTCTTTGTATTTACATAAAAATAACATAACAACAAAACTTAAAATTAAAATTAAATGGTAAACTATAAATTCTGTATAATCCTTTCAAAAATATCCCACATACCAATTGCCATCCGTCACCGCAAGTCCGCAACCACAACCTCCACCAACACCTCCGATCACCGACCGACTAATTTACAAGTATGTTTCAACAGAAAACTATGAAATTAACAAAAGAGTATATTACAAGGAAGATAGATGTGACTTTAGTTCATAGGTGTTTGTTGAACTGCTTTCTCCCATATCTTATTGGGCCAAAACCTAATAAACCAGACTCCGGTGAGCTCGTCGACATTTTCATTATCCTCCAACGACCGCCCAATTGTTTCCCTAGTAAAGAAATATGTAACAAAAAACCCTAAAACACAAACCACACCCATTGCTGTTAAAGCTTTCGACACATCAACCCCATGTCGTGGATCACGAGAAGCCCATAAGAACCCGATCGTTCCAATTATCGCCCCCACTTTTCCAACCGCACCGGAAATCCCATGACAAGTTGCACGAAACCTCGCCGGAAAAAGCTCCGCCGGGACTATGAATGTGGTGGTGTTCGGCCCAAAATTGGAAAAAAAGAACGTAAATCCGTAAAATATCATGAACCCGACATTCGCATTCGATCCCCAATTGCCCCTGTTGATTTTCGCGGTTGTAAACAAGCTTACAGCCATGAAAAAGAACCCGGTCGCCTGAATCGTGACTCTTCCGACGCGATCAATCAGGTAAACTGTCACGAAATAACCAGGGATCGTTGCAGAGACTGCAATGATTGCTTGAAATTTCGCAACCTGCAATGCATCTTCGTATAGATTCATGTGGATCTTTGGAGTCATGTGATGTTTAAATGCGTGATATTGGAATAGATTTAGACTGTAGAAGACGATATCGAGGAGAAACCAGTTTGTGGATGCTGCCATGAGATCACGGCCATGTCGCCGGAGAAATTCTTTTGAAAAGAAGCCATACGTGTTTAAGGAAGATACACGGTTGATTGGGGTGCTGATCATCTCGACATCTTCTTGGATTTGACTCAGTGATACTTTTAACACTTTCTCCATATCTTTCGCTGCTTGAAGTGTGTTTTTCTCGACCAAAGCTGTAAATCTGGGAAAATAGTTGAGTTACTCGTCACTAAAGAAAGTCACTATTTCCTTATTACGACGACGAATATATTAAGGACACTAAATGTATTTATTTAAGAATATAGATGTTAATATTGCATTTGTGATGACGGAATGTCAGAATGTTAGAACGTCACGCATTTACTTTCTTACAAAATCGAAAAACAAAACAATGAAATCTTTTTATCCCATATTTTTCGACTTAAATAAAAACTCATATATTTTTTTCTTTCCTTATATGTCTAAAATAAAAAACTCAAGAACAGTATAAGTACCGAGCGGTTTCCGGCATCTTCATTCGCCAATAATAAGTCATCAACGCTGGAATTCCACCGACCATGAGAATTAGCCGCCATGCCAAGTCCGATTCCGGCGGTACCGGGGCATTTTTTTCCGATTCCGGGAGTTCAAATGGAGCTATCAATTTATCGGCTGAAACTCTAAAAATGGAGCAAACCATCATGGTAACAAGCGAACTAAACAGTATCCCGAACCCTTGCATAGAAAAAACTCCGGCAATAAACGTCCCACGAGTCCTCCGGTTAGCAAACTCCGACATAATTGTAGCAGATAAAGGGTAATCCCCTCCAATCCCTACACCAAGTAAAAACCGAAAAAATCCAAGACTGACAAACACCAATGGAGTCAATGTCGAGAGTGAAAACCCACATCCGATGGACCCCACAACCATCAATATGAGTGCAACACCGTACACTTGGCGCCGCCCGACACAGTCACCGAGCCGCCCGAAAATGAGCTGCCCGATCACCGCCCCCATTAACGCTACACCGAACATGGTTGATGCGATGATTCCTGGGACTTCGAACAATTGCTTCTCTTCCAGTTTTTCATTGAATTTAGGGTAATATATCCTTCCGATCAGTCTCATGATCGGAGGGATACAGAACAAGTCGTAACTATCGGTAAAAAGACCCATTCCGGCGATTATGATCGCTTTAAAATGGTAATATTGTGTTTTTGCATTATCGAGTGCGGATAAAACTTTCAAAGCCATTAATGTGGGATTGAATTTTTTGATTTGAACACTAGAGTTTATAAAGACATAAGTTATTACGTAATAAAATTGACAAAAATACTAAAATATCGCGATGGAAGTTGCTAAGGAGTTTCGTGGACATGGAAATTCTTAGCATATTCTAGTAACATTTTCGAAGAAGTTATTTATTTGTTGTCATATAATAAATAGATAGATGGCTACATGTTATGAATTGACTCTCCTGACCACATCTTCAACGCCGTTTGCTAAACTGATCGAAGACTAATTAAAGGAGCATTGAACATATATATGTATGGTCTTATGTAATTATTTATAATCTTTTTTTCACTATAATAGAGAACACTTGATATGTCAGTTCAAAAAAAACAATTAAGATCATCGTATTTGTTATTTTAGTGCAGATAAACACTTAATATTATATTAATTAATTCAGAATGAAACCGTATAACTGTATAAGATAAAGAATATCTAATTTTGTTGCATGCAAGACCGACGACAATCCTTATTTATAAAAGTATAACATTGTAGTTTAGTATATAACGATGTCTTCGTGAAACTAAGATTGTTTAAATTTTGTATGCACTTTGATTGTTGAAGAGAAGACAATTAAGTAGATGACAACGTGACTCTGTAAGTGAAAGGCAAACCAATGAATCAAGAAACGTTTTATATCATATAATATTTATTTAAAAGTGTGTATATGTAATATTTATTTGAAAATGTATGTGTAATATTTTTATAAAATATAAGATTTATTTAAAATTTAAAAGTCTAGATGTGTAATATTTATATAAATTTATGTATAATATTTATTTATAAGTATGTTCTAAATATAATTTTATTATCTAATATTATTGTAATAAAAAAATAGATTATATATATATATATATATATATATATATATATATATATATATATATATATATATATATATATATATATATATATATACCTAATTTTTTTAATTTATCTAAAATTTCTATAAAAAAATTTTAAGGTTCTATCTTAAAAAATATTTAGGATCTATCTTACCAATAAAAATCTTTGAATTTACATAGAAAAAAATATGTATAAAAATTAGTGAACTATATGGTTTTCTATTATAGATTCGTTGATGTGTATATATATATATATATATATATATATATATATATATATATATATATATATATATATATATATATATATATATATATATATATAAGTTGCAAAATAGAATATACTTAAAAAATATTTTTTTGGTGTAAAAATTAAGTAAAAAATAAAATAAGGTTTGAGATAAAAGATTATTTACTCTATTTTTAAGAAGAAAATGAAAAAATAGATTGAAGAAGGTCTTAGTCAATCACATTTGATGACATCAAGAATCGATTGTAGTAAAGATGCACATAGTGCCCAGACTCGCTTTGGGGTGGGAATGATACCGGTCAACGGACCACATGTGTAGCCTTCCTTCGCCCTAATAAAGCTCCGCCCATGCGTATAGGGTCAGAGGTGATCATTAGATGTTAAAGGACGTTTAATATAGATCTTTCGGTTTTAAAGTTCTGTCCATGTAGTTTTTAGTTTTTCCCGAGAGGTGATCATCGTATAGGGTCAGACGTGATCATTGGATGTGGTAGTATTGTATAAATAGGAAAATTGTGTTTAAGATGGATTATGGTTTAGTAGTCATGTCTAGTTACAAACTAAGACTTGAAAGGAATGCTTTGTTCAATTAAGTAGAATTGTGGATTGTTTTATGCCAGGAGTATGTGTTAGATTGGAGCAGAGAGTAAAGCTCTGTTCAATGATATTGTTGTGTGTCAGGGTAAAGGTTATTTACAAAAGTACTATATTGGTATTCCTCCTTTTTATGGACAACCATAAATGATGGGTCTATATCAGGCAACCGGTTAGGTATGTATGGTCATCTAATAGAGTAAGATGACAACACTTGATTGATCTAGAAAGTCTCGTGAATTACATTATTAATGTAGATTTAAAACCCATGGACGTATTTTATAACATAACGGGTGTACATTCCCGTAGGTGTTTATATTTTATCCTCCCTTATGGTTTCCTTATTGACTTCCACCGCCATCGAATCCCCGAAGAAGAAAAGTCTACTCATTGCTGACAGCGCCCATCAGGTTAGAACTTAAGGATCAATATGTGAGAATCGAGAGGATGAGGTCGATTGTCTTATGGATGCCTATGTTAAATGATATATTGTTGGTAACAGATGGTTTTGTAGGTTTGTTAATGAGGTTGATTGTCTTATGGATGCCTATGTTAAATGATTATGGGATTGAAAACCTTATGTGTCTCACCAGGTTTTCCTAAACATGACTCACTCAAACGATATGCATCATAGGTAGCGGCGTTAAGATTATTGGAACTGAACAGGATGCCAAGTAATTAACGAGACATGTCTACAATAGTGTTCAGAACCGTTAGGTCTTGATGCTGTAACTTATGTATTGTATTGATTATGACATCCTTAGGGTTTTTTATTTTGAAATAACATCTTTACTCACGATATTTTAATAAAACAATACAGTTTTCGGAAAATGTTTTATTATACTAGGATTTCCTGCAAACAAATATAATATGGTTTTGAAAGCGTAAAGAAAAGTTTTTATTCAATTCTGAAAAATAAGGGGTGTCACATTGAAGATATACAACAATTTTTGAACACAATGGACATCATCGAATAAGCACGTAGGAAAATAGCAAAAACAGAAGAACAAGTCCAAATGACTAATAATAGGTTCAGCCTAATTGAGACCTACATGGAATTGTTTGAAAATCATGTAGACAATACTAGTTTGAACTAGATGTAATCTCGATTATCCTTGAAATCTACTCTAATTTTAAATATTGTAATGTTGGTTCAAACTTAATTGTAACGACCCAATTTTTCAAAGAAATTTTTTTCATTTTTGAACAGTCAAATACATTTTCATGATTTAAGAAATCCAGTCATAATTGTTTTCAAAACATATGTCAAATACAACTTTTATTCCAAATATCAGAGTGTCTATAAAAATACATGGGAGAGATTGGATACCACATTATCACATCTTACCTTTACCATTAGGATCATATGTACCTGGAACAAATCCACAACCTGTAAGTTAATTACTTAGTGAGTTACCCAGAGCATACCACACAATACACATATCACATATCATGTTAGCTATAAAAGCTACATATAACACATAAGTCATGCATACATAAACCGATAAGGATGCCATGGGCTCCCCCAGGGTCTTATACTTTCATGTCATGAGCGACCCCACATGGTCTTTACCTAGGAATGTCATGGGCTACCCCACATGGTCTTACATCCAATGTCATGGGCTACCCAACATGGTCTTTACCTAGGAATGTCATGGACTACCCTACATTGTCTTACATCCAATGTCACAGGCTCCCCCCTGGGATCTTCCATGCAATAACACACAATCACGTAGCATATCAGATCACATAAATGTCTAACACATAAACCATAATCACATAATGGGTCGGCCTTGGTGCCTTAGACCCATGGATATGGTGAGAAGACTCACCTCTGTCCGAAGAATCCAAAACTGCTCTCCTAACTGTTTGTAACCTCCCGTGTTGAATAATAATATTGACCCATGTTACGACATCACATAAACAAAGGGGAAACACAAACCCCAAGTCCTTCCATGAAGGCCCAAATATCCTTTCCTTGTTAATGGGCCCAAATTCCATGTCCAAATTCATTAATGGGCCTCTTGGCCCAATAAGACCCTACAATAACACTAATAGCCCAATACAGATAAAATGGCCCACTTTTCTCAGAATGCAACCAAGTCCAATAATCAAATGAGGCCCAACAGATCATAGGCCCAAAATAGATCCAAGTCCATTAGTGGTGCGTACGCGCAGCGTACTGCGTCTCTGGGGCTTACGCGCGGCGTACACTAGGTTACGCCCAGCCTACTTAACAGCTTAAGCACTTCTGTGACATCCAAAATTTTTCAACCAATTTAAACTTTTCAAAAACAACCCATATTCATTAATTCATTACAAAAATGTTTTCAACTCATTATTATCAGAGTATTTCCCAGAACCACATCATAAATACATAAAACATGAGGAGCGGTACGATCACGCCTTCGCCTTGCCACGATCTCCTGAAGTACCTGAAACAATACACTGAAAACTGTAAGCCCGAAAGCTTAGTGAGTTACCCCCAAAATACCAACCACATATACCATACACATAACATATCATATCATAAACAGAACAACCATGCACTTCGGGTCTACTGCGTAACTGGTCCGCCGCACCGGGCCTACAGTCCACCTGGTCCACCCTCCAAGTCTAGCCATATATATCGAGTATGCAGTGTCGTTGGTCCGCCCGCACCGGGCCTTCAACCCACCTGGTCTACGCTCTGAGTCTACAGTATGACTGGTCCGCCCGCACCAGGCCTTCAGTCGACCTGGTCCACTCTCCGAGCCTTGGCACATCTGGTCCGCCCTCATGGAGCTTGTAGCCTATCCGGACCGCTCGTTGGGCCTTCGGGATATCCGGTCCGCCCTGGGTATGTTGGCCTACAGCACAAAGCACGACCCGCCTCAACCTAACCCCAATCAACCATGTGCACATAAGCATATAATCATATAGCAATTCCTCACTAATCAATCGATCTAGCAGATCACATATATAGCACACTCTAACCAGGATACCGACCTAACCGGTCACTACCATAGCATCATCCTGTATACCAGGATTCCGAACTTAACCAGGTCTCTAACATATACCATCCTAACTACCAGGATGCAAACATATAGCAAAGTAATAACATAACAACTACCCGGATTTCCATCCGATAAAGGGCCGGACTTGGTGCCTTAGACCCTGTTTATATAATGAGGATAACTCACCTGCAACTGCCGACTTGAAGAAATAAGACCACACTGCTCCGACCATCAGCACGAACTCCACCACTGATCATTACCAAATAACCAAAACCAATAAACACCAATAATTACCAACATACCCTTGGAAGTCAAACTGGTCAACCCTTGGT